ATATCTTCTATAACAGCGTCCTTAATATTAAAAGATAGCAAACTAGCTATATGTCTTAGATACCTTAGGGGTAAAAGTAAATTATCCTCAAAAATGTCAGAAATGGCGACACCATGAAAACTGGTGTGCAAGCTACACTACTAGGTCTAGGTCGTCATGAATATCTGCTCGCTGACCATGGGATCTATAAAGGGCAAGGGCAAGTCAAAACAAAAGTTGTTAGATCCGAAAAAAACAGTTTAATTTCCACAAACAATGGCGAAAACCCAAAATCTCTTTATCTGCTGAGCAGTTTAAAGACTATCAGCTCTTTTTGAAGATAAAGATCTCAGTCGTAAAATAAATATTTATTTCAATTTCATTTGTTCGATGGAATAGAATTTTTGAAATTCGATGACATTACAATAATATGGTAACCTTTATCTGATGCTGCAATTAGGACAGTCTGCAGGCTACCCAACTCCTCAACTACAGTAGAATTATCGTCTTTGATGATGATGATTAGATGATGACCTTGTTGACTTTTTAACTGCGCTGTTTTTCAACTATATGTCAGGGTTTTTTAAAACTTTGGTCAAGTTTTATTTATGTTAAGATGTGTAGCTATGCTAACCAGGATAAACTCAAACTTATTCTCTGTCCATTATAGAATTTAGTATACGTAAGTCCGTAAACACAAATAATGTTTTGATTTTCTTTTTTGTTATATAAATAAGTTCTTTCATGCACTATCAAATGATTTGGTACGATCAGTATTCAAGAATTTTCACGTTTATAGAATAACAAATAGTTGAAGATTTTTATTTCGCCGTTACAAATTAGGCAGATTTATATAACTTTTTCTACAAACATCCGACGAGAGGAGAATAAATTGAAAATTATTTTCGGCGTTCGATTTAGCTATATATTATACATTCGCTATACACAAATTGGAGTACATTTTAATAGTTATTAAAATGTTTGCTAATTGGAAATAGAACAGATTTTTGGTTCATTCATTTTCCTGTTCTAAATCGTGCATTTGTTTTGCTCAAACAAACCAACGCTTAGGCTTTTTAAGGTTCTAGTCACGACTCTTAGCCAATTTTTACATTTTTATTTCGAAATTTCGGAACAGCCCAGTGTCGGTAAAAAAAGTTGATTGAACCTCTTACCAGTACAGTTTAAAAATTGTCATAGCAAATTCCGTAACACGGCAAGATGAGATGTCTGATGTGAGATGAATTTGAAATGGGTCCGACTAGAACTTAACTAATAATTACAGTTTACAGACAGTTCACTGAACCAAGCACATTATGTAGAATAAATACTAGCGCCTTTTAACGCCATGCGATCTGCCAAGAAACCGATCAAGTTTTACAATAGTGACTGACAGTAGGCAATGACGACAGGAGGAGTTAGGAGCGACAACAAAACGGGGACCAAGAAGCGATTACAGAAATATGCAGCAAGATGGGTAAGATGAGTGAGACTAGCGCAGGATCCTGGTTGATGACACAGACTAAGAAAGGATATCTAAGTGAAGTCAGGTTGTGGATGACGATGTATAGTAAGCTGTGCAAAAGGTTCTAACCAAACCGTCGACTCGAGTACATAAACAAACCTATATACCTCTCAAAAACGCGAATGCCGAATGAATCTTTCTGTATTGGCAAGTAAATAACATTATAGTACTCGCACGTGAAATAACTATATTTATTTTTTTATTTAAGTTTCTTTCTTTTCTCCATATGAAGCATCGTCCTATCTATCGTCCCTTAACTCATTTTCCTTTGATTTTCATCTTACATTATACATCCATTTTCAATTTTTCTTAGTGACTGTTGTCATAACTACGTGAGAGATCAAATATATATTGTTAATTCGTAAGGTTATCGAACGAATTAAGAATGTTATTGGTTTTCAACCGCAATTGTTCCACACGGCACGTTGATTTGGCGGCTATTAATTGTTTGTTGTTCATAATGTGTCTTTTTTTACCAAAAAACATGACTTATGGATCTATTAATATTATAAACATCATTGTGAATGAATTCGAAATATTCTCGAGTGAACTGATAGAACTTGAGGGAATTTAAGCCAGTCCAATCAGTGTTCGTCAAACGGGTCGGTAAGATATTGAATTAATTGAATTGTAATAGGTAAGGACGCGTGCCCGGAAAGTTTAACTGGATTACAAATGGACGTTGTGTAGTCAGTATAATAATTTAGCTAGACCACATCGAGGGCATCATTTGAAAAGCTTATCTCAAATGTAACCGGAATAAATTATAAAAATATTGACGCGAGTTGAGGATTGGTACGAGCTATGCAAGTGGAGGTTATTCGCTGCCTGCCCCATTAAAATATGGATTAGATTACACAAATAGATTTAAAAAAGTAACATAGATATTGTACCATTTGCGTGGTGCAAATTATGACAAGATAATATTTTGATATGAACAACGATATACCTTTTCCAACGTATATTATTTTTTTTACCCGACTGCGGGAGGGTTATATTTTTCAGTGTGTATGTATGTACACACATCAAAAAAAGTTTGCGATCAATAGCATAAGCTCCTATAATTCTTTAAATTTAACTTTATCAAGAAAAAATCTATGTTGTATGCTTTCTTTAAATAGGAATACCCTGTTTGAAATTAAAATATAAAACTATTTTTTATTATTTATTTAAAAAAAATTGAGCCATTACTCATAATGTAATAGTGATAGAAATTTCATAGAAAGAAAAAGACTGTTTAATTAAACTTAAACAACAATTTATTATTAAAAGGTGTGAATTCAATATAAAATAACTCCTCCCCTGGCTCGAATACATGCGAAGATCCTCCTGGGCATGCTGAGGATCAAGTTATCCAGCACTTCCTGGGGTAACCTATCCCATTCTTCAATAGCGGCTTCCCTGAGCTCTGGAACTGTCTGGGGACGTGGCTCACGGTTCCATACTGCTCGTTTAAGAGCATCCCACGCGTGCTCTATTGGGTTTAAGTCGGGCGAGCCGGCAGGCCAGTCTAATCGTGTGATATCGTATTCTTGAAGAGCAGCATTGACTCGTTGAGCTCGATGTGCGGGCGCATTATCATCGACCAGTACAAATTGGTGCCCATGGTTCACTCGGAATGGTCTGACGATATCATCAATAGCAACTGCTTTGTACATGTCTGCTGTCATGAAGCCCCGATACGGGATCAAAGGCGTTCTAGCTCCAATCATAATGCCACCCCAAAAGGACACCGATTTTCCGCCTTGCTGAACTGTTCCAGTGGCAATTCTTTGTCTTTCACGGTCGCCTGGTCTTCTCCAGACACGGACACGTCGGTTATCTGGATGAGTGCTGATTCGGGATTCGTCAACGAAGAGACAGTTTTGCCAAATGTTTTCGTCCTCACCTTCTTCATTTTGCCGAAGTCTAGCCCACTGCAATCTTCGTTGTTGACGTTGCCGGGAATTGAGCGGAGCTCGCCAAGACCTCCGTGCTCGTAATTCAGCCTGGTGCAAGCAATTGCGAACGGTCTGCGTGCTAACTTCAAGCCCAGAGGCGGCCCTGACTTCTGCTTTTATTTTAGTGGCGTTGATTGTTGGATCACGGGCTGCCAGCAATCTAATATAGCGCTTTTGGGCAGCTGTCAAAACAGTTGGGCGACCGCTGCGGGGTCGGTCAGCTAAATTCCCCATTCCGTGATACCTCTGCAACGTAGCCACGACACAGGATTGGGATATAGCAAGTCTGCGTGCTATTACTCTCGTGGTGTATCCTTCTTCCCTCAAAGTTACTATTCTAGCTCGTAAAACCTCTGATAATCCTCTTGGCATTTTTTCAATCACAACTTTCCGCGAAAAATATCTTGAATCGCTTATAATTGACTAAATCAGATTTCTGAATGAGCGTAAGCTAGGACTGAAAGCCTTTTTATATGAAAAAACAATTGAACGGGGTCATTGTTTTATGTTCTAATTAATTTTAAAATAAAGAATCTAAAAAGAAGAAAAAATCATAATATAATCTACAGTAACAAAAAAGATTTCAGTTTTTCGAAGTGATCGCAAACTTTTTTTGATGTGTGTATGTCCATCATGTATATATGTCCAGATTGATTGATTTTGACATATGAGGTATCGTTAGATTCGTCATAATTGTAGGAGTGTCATAGGCTATAAAAATAATCAAAATACTGAGAGGGAAAATTCTCTTTTTATCTTTCCAGCTAAACATTTTTGCAGTCGGGTTTTTGTTTTTTAAATAATTTTTACTCGAGACTTGTTTATAATACCAAGTGACGGGACGAACAAGTCGTGGGCCTGGTGGTAAGCGACACGCCTGTCCATAACAGTTGCAGTTCCACTCAGAGCTTTAACACGTAAACATCAGAAGGGCACTGCCACTGCGCCCGTCACCCTGAGACATAAGTTGACAAGTCCCATGTGCCTGTAATTTCATCAAACTTACTTATTACAAGTTTCTTGCCAAGATATGATTTCTTTTAGTTTTCCCCATATTTCGAAACGTATACACACTCCATGGTCACGGGTCGACTGGCCAATGACAGATGGACAGCTTAAAGAACAGACATACATATTATGTCTACCCTGTTTCGCTGTCGTCGACTACCTTTAACTCGATTACTTGTGGCGATGGTGTTAACATTGTCACTAATTTTTTTCGACAAACCACACCCACATTTTAAGTCGAACCATTTTCCTTTTTATTATTGTATTAAATGACCGTGGAGCATGTAACCGTTCCGGAATATCTCCCAAAGAAGGAAGGAAGGAAGGAAGGAAGATTTCCCAAAAAGAAATCGTATTGTGGTAAGAAATCTGTAATTAGTGATAATCATTTAATGAATAACCACGAAAATCTTAACATGTGAACAATTTTTTTTTATTTTGACACTGAGAGGTTCCTTTTACTAAAAATTACATAGTGTACGCCGCAGAAGGAAATAGTCCAAAGGTCCTGGTCTTTAACTGACATCAAATTAACAAAAACAATCTACCTGGAGTGTCGGTGTTCTCTTCAGGGACGTTGTTCCATTTCTGCAGCTCGCTGGTGCCAAATACGACGAAAAACGTATTTGTGACTACGTATATTGCTGATGCCACGTAGAACACCATTCGCCACTGGCTCGCGTCCGTCTGGATTGAACAAATTGTGATGAAGAAAAAATGTGTTAAATTTGAATTACCTAATGTAAAATCGACTAGGCCAAGCATAGAAATAAACGGAAAAAGTTAAACCTTGTCAATAAAGCAGTCTTCTTAGGAGTGACATTAGACATTAAACTTCAATGGTTTCCATATATATATTCGCTGGCCAGCAGATTAAGCTCCACTGCATATGCAGTCCGCAGAATACGTGAGCTTACCGATATTAGTACTGCTAGATTAGTTTACTTTAGTTACTTCCATAGTATAATTTAGGGGATTCGTTCTGTGTACCGTCTAGGCTCTCAGGTTTCTCTCAGAGAAAAGTTTAAGGAGACTGGTATCATGACTGTGGCATCACAGTACATTTACTCAAATATTTTATATTCCCGTAAAAATATACACAATTTCAGTAAGAATGAAGATATCAACAATATTAACCTTAGAGCTAAGTCCACACTCATGGTACCACGAATTTCGTTTAACCAAGGTAAACAACTCTTTTATGGGGAACTGTATACGTTTTTACAATAAGATTCCGGAGCATATATTAAGATTATCATTTCCTAACCGCTCACGCGATTCATGCGTCTCTGGAGGCATACCACACCTAGAGGTGCCGGTGATGATTTTATACCGATTTATCGGATATCGAAGTTATAACAGGTAAAAGAACTAATACTAATTGCTATTTCGTTAACTACTCTAGCAAACCATATTTAAACTGAATCCTTTTCTAATTTGCGAAACCAAATAGCCGCCATTTTGCGGTAGGATGAGCGCATCGCGTGAGCGGCTAAGTTTAAAAACTACATTAAAAATACTTTGATTGAAAAGTCATATTACAAAATTGAAGACTACGTGTTAGATAAAGATGTATGGAAAGACGACATGGCTCCAGATTGCATTTGATTCAAAGTGTATTCCATAGCATTTAAGTTTATTTGAAAAAAGCAATCCGTATAGTTTCTGGCTCGTTCTTCTCAGGGAGGTCAGCGTAGTGAACGAGCAGTAGCTTAAATGTGACTAAATTTATTTTGTAAAGTTTATTTTGTTTTGTAAATTTATTTTACCTATGGAATAAACGATTCTTTGACTTTGACTTTAACTTTGAAATAATAGAATCATGCTGTTTTTGTTTAAGCAATAAAAAGTAAGTATAATTAAGTAAGAGTGCACATGTCGCCAACAAACTGCACAGCAGTTTGACGACTTTTAGTAAATAAGTTACCGTCTGTATTTTTCTTGAATAAAAAATATAAAAAAAGAAAAGAGAACAGGGAAATCATAATTCTTAAAAGTATATATTTATGTCCGTAAGTGAAGAACTAACAAAAATAACAGCTCGGTGAACAATTCCGCAAACAACGTATTGCTGGTATAAGCATAGACTAAATAGTGGATATAGTTCCTACTCTATATAGCTATACTAAAAAAAAAGGAATAGTAATAGTAAGTAATATGGAATACACTGTAATATATACCACGTCTTTCAAAATGACACCAGCCGCGAGCGGAGCGATGATGGAGATGATGTTCGCGAAGAAGTTAGTGATGCCCATCAAGGTGCCGGCGAAGTTCGGAGCCATGTCTATGTGCACCAACTGTTTAGAGACGAACAAAGTAATGTAAGCGAAATCAATAAATTATTTAATAATTATTGTCAGCGATCCGACATAAATTAACACTTCAACGCTGTCATCTGGGGCCTCCCGAGTTTGCCGGAGTCGTCATGAGTTGTAATCTTTAAATTAACGTTTGGAAGCTAGTTGTTGGAAACCTTCACGGGCTTGAACTGTCTTCTAGCCCGCATCATCAAACTATTACATCGATATATACAACTACAAATATTGATATGCGCTTCTTATACAACACAACAGTGCCGTGTTTAGTGCACCAAACTAATAGATTACAAATCACACAAAAAAAGATTTTAAGCATTTCGACTTACCAAAAAACCAGTGTAATGTCCAGCGTTCAATCCAACGACTGCAGTCAATAAAACAACGGCAACCCATACACTGCCTGCTGGCGCGTACGCTAGACCTATCAAGGCGACAGCTGGACCGTAAAAGCCTGTAAATGTTATTATATTCTCTTATGATATGAAAGTGGAACGTAACTTGAATTATAAAATAAATGTCAATTTTTTTATCGTGAATAGCTTCTATTGTTTAATATAATAATTGTTTATTTCATTGCAGTACCATATAAACTAATATAAAACTAAAATTATAAAATATAAAATTAGAATAACGAGCAATAACTTATTAGGAAAAATATTAAATAAGTTATATTAACAATATATATATTGAATAAAGCTTCACTTCAATCAAATAATACTCAGTAAAGTGCTGCACAAACTACACTTCAGTGGGCTGTAATTCTAACTTACCGATAGAGTTCGACCATTTCCTTGAAGCAGAGATACTAAGCCATTTCTTCTTAAGGGAAAGATCAGCGAGGTAACCGAGTGGGAAACTCAACACGTACATCGCTAAGTACGGAAGGGCCGACATTATACCGTTCTGGAAAAAAGGAACGCATACCAAACAGGTTGTAATAAAAAGGTCCGACCATATTTCCGTTGTGTAAATGTTTAGGCAATGCCTCTCGCTAACGATGAAGGAAAATATCGTGATAAAAACCTGCACGCCGAAGAGCCGTAGACCCACACATGCTACGAATACATTTCACCTGAAGTATTTCGTGAAGTATTTAAAAGATTTTCAGAAGTTACTTACGGATTTGATATCGACTCCAAGAACTTGGCTAAAGTATGAAGGCATCTCAGTCATGAGAGTCCATAATCCCCAAGCAAAACCGCAGTGCGCAATGGTCAAACATATGAAGGGCATAGACGTCGCGACTGACTTCCATGGTGTTGGCAGTTTCTGTGAAAAAGAGGTAAAATTGATAGAAATATAACACAAACTCAGATTCCTTACTTATCGATCTAAGCTTTGAAACATATGTAAAAAGTAGCAGTGATGGAGGTAATTCATAGATACATTTTTAGCAATTTGACGTCAAGCCTTTCTGTTTTACCATAGAATCTTCAAAAAGCCTTTTTTAACCCCTGACGCGTAAAGGGGATAATATGTCTGAAGCCTATGTCTGTGGATGTTTTAGGGGAGCAGTGGAGCTCTTTGTAAAAGAGTTCGTCCAGAGAAATACTGTCACATTACTTATTTCTGCCGCCAAGCATTATTGCGTTCCGGTTTAGAAGGGCAAGGGTGCTGGTGAAATTACAGGCACATGGGACTTGTAAACTTACATCTCAGGGTAACGGGCGCAGTGGCAGTGCCCCTCTGGTCTTTGCGATTTAAAGCTCTGAGGGGCACTGCAATTGTTATAGACAGGCGTCTTTGGCTCACCATCAGGCATACGACTTGTTCGGCCCGTTACTTGATATTATTTAAAAAAATGTGTCCGTCGCATCGTAGCTCCCAAGCGGATGGATTGATCCCAATTTTTTTTTTAATTTCAGATATTGCATACTTAATGGAGATGGTTCTTAGATATGTTTCTTGAACATCTGTTCCTTCTAGCACTAATTTATTTAAGGTATTCTATGCATTCCGTGTATGTAAGCGTGTGGCATACGTTTCTATAGCCGGGTAGCCAAGGGACACAACCTCCACGTCTGACGATCGTAGTAGGACTAAAGCGGACAGGGGAGGCGTGGGGGCTCTGGCTAGTATAGGCGGACTTTAGGTATGTGAAAATGTACGGAGTATATGTTATAGAGAACGTGTAGTTTTGTTATTATTAAAAAACTGATGACTTTCCGTGAAGTATTTACACCGTACTAATAGCATATTTTGTTTTTTAAAGATAACTTCGGATTTTTTTTCTATCGAGGAAACTACAAGTAATCGTGCTTCTAAAGAGTCTGATTTATAGAGTGAACACTTAACAATATCCTATACATTAATTTCATAAATAAACCTATAAAAATAACCATACAGCAAGGGATCAAACATACGCAATTATTTCGCAATTACGTAGCACTGCCTCGGCGAAGACTTAAAGGTCATCGTCAGCTCTTTTCCCAGTTAGTGTATGGATCTCAACCATAAATGTGTCAAAGAATTTTTAAGCTTATAATCCAGGCTTTGGTCAATTGGTATGGCATACTAGTGGAAAGCTGTACACTAACAACAACTTTCAGCTTTTAGGTAAATTAAGGTGATAAAAGATTTAGTCTGAAAAGTGACCGCAACATAGCGAGGGATGAAATTAGATGTTTTGAAACTCTTTTTTTACCTTATGTCCCCCGTCGTGTCCCAGCGACTTTTGGATATAATTCCTTTCTTTTTCACTGATCATCGTGGAGCTCTGTGGCGAGGAAGATCCGATAAATATGTAGATCGCTACCCATATGGCTCCTAATGTCCCGTCTACGTAGAAGATTCCTGACCAGCCCCAGGCCTCCGCTATAAAGCCAGACGCCATGAGCTGAAGAGCTGTACCAAACTGGGATCCTGGAAGACATGTTTCATTTAAGCAAAGCTATATTTTGGATTAGAGAGAAAGCGAGTTTGCATGCAACTACTACACAAAACAGGTCGTATTTTGTTGTTTCCTCGATCTTCCATAGCAAATTTATAGTTACTAAATTTAACAATGGTTGATGCAAGGCTTCAATGTTTCTTTATTAATTAATGAATTAATTTATGCGTGATAGGAAGTCTATAAAAACCTTAAATTACATTTTAGTCCCAATTATACGGTATCCTGAAAGGACACAATAAAGAAAAGCAGCAGAGGGCACTTATCCTATAAAAGGAAGCATTTTTTGTAAGTTTAAAAGACAAACAACGGACATTTTTATTTTGTTCAAATTGCTTACATTATGGCAATAACCTAAAGCGGGCTTTGTTTTTATTCGAGGAGTTGAAATATTTATTGCAGCTACTTTGTTGTACGAACTTCTTGCTTCAGTGATAAATTCGCCATGACATGGAAAACAATGTGAGTAAAAGCTGACTAGACAAACATAGATTATAAATAGGTTTATTCGTTATTTTTTCTAAATAGCGGAGTCATTCCTCGCCCATTTTCCCGTCAGCTATAACGACACCATTAACGCTTTGACGGGATGTTGTTTTAGCATATTTATATAGAATTTGAGATGCCATAATAATGGTACTAGATATACATAGTAGTTTGCCTGTAATATCGAAATTAAGCATTAGGCACAAAAAACAAATATTTGTGACAGGGTAATAGATGTATCTAAGGGACTTAGCACATTTATTTACTATAGTCGACTTGACCAGTCAGAAAAATCTTTATGTTCATGCAATAAGAGCGAAAAAGACGTCACACGTTTTGCTTTCATTCTGATCGCTGACGCGAAACGTCGATTCATTTTCGTTTCTATGACATGGGCATACAGATATTTCTTACCGACGCTCAAAAGGAAATAATTTTTATTAAGGAAAGTATTAAAATTGAACAGTTTGTGGCTAGAAATAAATTCAAATAGCGATATGCTGCGTAGATCAAATTAAAACGTGGTCGCAAAAGATTACACGGCATAAAATGGTTTTCGATTTCGAATTACTGTTATTAATAAAAATTATCATTTACTTCTTCAAAAGGGTACGACACTTAATATAAAAAAAATACAGATTAGATCATGTAATATTCAAGTACATTAGTCATTTAAACAGATTAACTTGTTAACTCGTAAGCTAAGTTAATCTTGTAGTATAGGAGTGAGGCCCTTCGCTCGGTAAACTAGTAAAAATAACCATTGTCCATTTGGACATTAATTGCAACACTTACATATATTGTACACAATGATATAAAACATATAACAATAATAAACAGTATTTAACAATGGTAACATAAATAGGCTTACTTGAATTACTATGAGATTTTTAACAATTTTTCAAATTGTTTAACAACCATTTAGTTAAAGTTTAATTTCTTATCCATTTAAATTATATACACACAGTGTATGTATGTATGTAAATACTTTATTGTATAACAAAACAATCATAATTGTATGGAATCAAGACTCATTTTGTCTTTCAAATGTCTTTGAAATGGATCTTTAATTTTGTAATATGAATTTTCAATTAAAATACTTTTAACACGAGTTTTAAATTTAGGAAATGATAATCTTAATATATTCTCCGGAATGTTATTTTAAATACATATACAGTTCCCCATAAAAGAATATTTACCTTCACATAAAGGGATTTCTTCCAACTAACCTTTGAATAATTGAAAGGAAAGTTGTCTCCTGTGTCGGCACTAAAGTTTAACAAAACAAGAAATTTAATGCTACTCAATTATTTAGAAAGATAAATTCATTACATCAAATTTAATAATACGAGTACATGTATATTAAGAGTCTATAGTACCTCAAATGACTTTGGTTTATTCCGCATGACAGTGAAAGTTTTAAATCAAACACTGGAAAATATATGTTGTAAAATCATTGACTTACAAATAAATGGACGACGGGTCTAATACAAAAACCACGAAAAAAATGTCCCAAGTCAACTTATTCGAAATTTAAATTGTAGTGTCATCGCAGTATCGCGCTATCAGTAGAACAAATGCAGACTAAAGCGGAGTTTGGCGCTCTGTATACGATTTTAGCGCCTTACAAGTGCGGACACTTTTTAGCGCGGACCCGACGTCCATATAATTGTAAGTCAATGAGTAAAATTAAGGATGTACACTGATTTCTATAAAATATAGTGTGAAAACACAATTCCTAAACATTTTCATGTTTAAAAAAATACAAACTTACCTCTAAATTTTACAAAAAAACTTCTGTATTCAGTAGGTACTAATAAAATACTTTACATACATCAATTTTTTTTAATATCAACTGAGCTATACGTATACTGTATGATATACATTTTTGAAATGGTTTTAGTTTCGATTCTAAAAAAATTAATTCCGAAATAAAAGCAGTGTCCTTGTCGCTCGACACAGGCAAAATAAATAGTTTTAGTGGGGGAAAATGTGAATTCGAGCAGAGACAGTATGGACTCTGTAAAACATATTGAGACTCTAATACAAATTATGTGCTCTAACATGAGTAGTCTGAAAAATCTTAATATTTATTGTAAACAAATGATACAATCTGAAAGTTGCAGCACTATTCTGTTTTAGGGCAAATGCTGTGCTACACACAACGCGCTGGCAGAGCTAGAGCTGCTGAACATTTATTGTTGTATTATCAGATGTATGGAAAGACGATATGTCTCTACATTCGACACAAATTTTATTCAAAATGTATTCCATAGCATTTGAGTTCATTTCATATCATCGGTAAGTCTTATTTTGATAATTCAATTTTCTGTCTAATTAATAGATTTTTTTGTAGTATAACTAAAGAAAGTAAACATTATCTCAGAGCAGTTTGGGCGAATTTTATCTTTTGGAGATCTAAGTAAATATTTCGAATTTACTACCCTAGCAGCCAACAACAGCAGATTAGTAAAAACATGCTTCAATAGTACCTATTTTGTAAAATTTAAACTTAATTAATCGAGCTAAACGACATTATGAAATGTGTGCATTGAAGAAGACATGTGCAGACTTAGTCTCTCCTCTGAGCACGACGTAACAGGAAGAGAAACTCTCTACCATAGATAAAGTTTTCTCTACGTAGCGATAAATAAATCGATGCAACTAAAATTACCTTTCATTATCATAGCGGTCACACTATACCGGTAATAGTTTTTCAGGCACAGCTCTAACTCCCTTCATTCATTTCCGCTGTAACGTTTTTAATATAGTTCATGGCGTGCATTAAATCAATGAAAATAAAAGGTAACTCTAATTTTGGTATATAACTCTCTATTACTCAAATATTGATATTTTTGTTGAATCGAAAGCGCATTTTGACGAAAAAGAAAATAATAAAAAAAAACTTCTTGTGTTTGGTTTACTGATTGTCTGTTGTTCTTCAAATGTTCGAAAAGTTTGTCACCGAAATGTACGGGTCAATTCTTGGTAATAAACGCGTGTTTTCCTTTCCTTCACAGATATACATGTACGGGTCAATTCTTGGTAATAAACGCGTGTTTTCCTTTCCTTCACAGATATATGTATATGTGGACGTTTTGGGAGCTAGATCCTCATTTAGTTCCTGGCACAAATAATATATTAATTCTCAGGACGCCTTGAAATTACTGAGGAACTCGGCCTCAGGGAGATGAAACGGTTCGCAAAATTCGCGTACCATCACTCTTTGTCTCTCGTGGCAGGTTTTCCGCATAAAAACTTGAGGCAGAACCTCAAGAGTAGTCGAGACATTAAGCTACCGCGATCTGTATTGAAAAAGTATACAGTATTTGGCTGTCGTGCTATGGTTAGAGAGAAATTCTCTTTATTTGAAATTTGTATGCGCGACTACTTAAACCTCATAGCGCTTATGCTCGCGCCTGTAGAGACGGTTAGACATAATTCGTAGTCACTTCATTTTCGAGAGAAAAATGACAGTTCGAAGAAGTAATAACTTTTGTCGTCGGGCTCATGCTAAGCCTGCTGTTGTCGAGAAGATACTACTTTCTATGCATTCAGATGTCAGTCGTTCGTTGTAGTCCAGCTACTGGCGGCAATATGGCAACACGTTGAATAAAATTTGAATATAAAACAAAACATCGTAATTTACAATATGGGTATTGAAATTTCAACGATATAGCGACCGGGCAAAGTTTAAATTATATTAACAGTCCAGAAATTGTTACATTTTTTAAATTCGAAACTATGACCAATCATTATCAAGATTCCATAGTGCTTAACATTATGATAGTGTGCCTTTTGGCGACAGTGGTTCTTATAGTAATTGAGGTTTAAGGTTCTTCCATTGTTTTTTCTTCCGTGATTAGCTAAAACTGACGTTTTCAAGTGTAAAATTATTTTACCTATGAAATAAATGATTATTTGACTTTAACTTGAGTTCAGAGTGTCTACCTACGTGGTTATGGGTCGGACTAAAAATAGTTGACGAACAGTCACAACTCCACATTCCGTGTCTACACGGAATTCGTAGCTGAGTGACCTCAACGTCTGAATTACATAACCTTTAATATTGCCGTCTGTGCTTTCTCAAGTGCAAGCATATCGATATGCAGTATGGCAAAATGGAGTGGCACAGAGCAGTATAAACCGCGTGAAAAATATAAGAGTGAGCAGAGAGTCATGTTTTAGTAAGTAATTGATGTATTTATTTCTTCTTATTGTTAAGTGCACACTTTGGTAACCACTGCCGTGCCACTCGAGTTATAAGATGCAAAGATCTGAGGGGCACTGCCATTACAAGTCCTACGTGCCTGTAATTTCACCAACACCCTTCAAAACCGGAACGCAGTAACGCTCACATTACTACTGCTTGATGGCAGAAACAGTAGAGCTCCTTGTGAAACAGTTCGTTCAAGGTACTGTATCGTAAAAAGTACTGCCTTACCTTACCTATTTCTGCCGCCAAGCAGTAATGTCAGGATTACAG